CTTCTCCTGGGCTTCTTCTTTTATGATTTCTCTCAGGCTGCTTTGTGTTTTTAAAAAAGTCCTTAACTGTGCAGCCTGTGGTGACTGCAGGAGTCTAGTGGCCCTAAATCCTCAGGCTTAAGACCTACACCACTTTAAACACTGGTAAATACAGGCATTATAGTCAGTTTTGGTGTTTAATGAATGCTATCTTGGTTTGCTGTAACTGTCATCTTTCTTCTATAAGCTTGTGCTTTACCATTTTTTTAACCACATCAAAAGTCAAGCTTTGTGCTGAGATGTTAATGACTCTTATAATAACACTATAAACAAACAAAAGTCATAATGATCAAAGAAGACACAAACAATAGATTCCACAATTTATTGCCTGACATATTTTGATGTATCTCGTTAGATGCATACTTTAGTAGCAATTGATTAATTAAAAAGATGCAAATAAATGAATCATTCCAAATGAAACACAGAATTGGCTACATTCAAAAGCCATATATATAACCTCTTTTTCCGTATGAGAAGACACAAGAAAGTCCCAACAAACTGGAGGGGGTAAGGGTTTTATCAATTAATGTGCACATTTGAAAATGAATTCAAAAAGGCTAAAATATGAAGCATTATGCTAACAACAACAAAAGTAATGGCTGTAAGATTTACCTGTATAATCATGGGACTATCCTACTTCCAAAAGACGGAAGTAATGTCAATAGGAAAAAATAAGCAGAATTTAAATATTGCATTAGAGCAAACATATATTAAACAGGCATCTGAGTTTAAATATTGTGGAACAACATTGGCTGAAGATGGTAAATTAGAAGAAGAAATTAACATCCGATGCAGTAAAGCTGACCAAGTGTTGGGACAGCTAGCCAACCTTTTACAGCATAAGACAATCCCAGTCAGCACAAAGAAACATTTCATACAACGTATACTCATTCCCGCCCTATGCTACCAGTGCCATGGTCACCCACAATAAATATAAATGAAAATTAGTAATCATGGACACGAGAAAGACTGTAGGAGTGACCAGAAAAGATCAAATCAGGAATGAGTTCATACGAGATAAAGTCGGCACAGAACCAATTCTAAATTACATACAAAGACAACAAATCCCATGGTTTACTCACTTTCTATACTATACAAGGCATATACGAAAAGAGGAAAAGGACTTAGATCAAGGGGCAGACCAAGTCGAAGCAGCCAGAAAGAACAAAGTGAGATCTTATTTCTCCCTCGACACCCAAAGCAGTGAAAGACCAGGTAAAGAAGAAGAAAATCATAGATAAACATTTTTTATGCTACCATCATGAATAAACATTTCTGACATCTAAACATGAAATTCACATTTTTTGAATGCAAAATTTCATTTATGGTCGCATGACAAACATAATTTGAAAAAAAAAAAATAATACACACAAATCTTGAAAAATGTAATAGCTAAAACCTCAACAGTTATTATTTTTTGGGATGAGCTCTTTTGATGCCAGGTGTGTTAAGGTTACTGATTACTCTATACGAGCATTTTTACTGTCATTGTGTTTCATTTTTCTGCTTTGTTAATCCACTGTATTCTTCTTCTTTTTCTTCTTAGTATTTCACAACTGTAAACTCTGGTGGAGAGTTCTGGTTGTTCATGTATTGCCTTATTCGGGGAAGAGGAAATGCAACCTATAAACTTAATGTTATGACAGGACAGACCAGGCCCTTGAACGGCAGCTAGTCTAGGATGGAACTCTGACAAGCTGACATACAATGCTCTGTTCTAACCTGACAGTTTCTGCGGCATGCTTAGTTCCAAAAATATTGACGTTTCATTTCTTTTGAAGTAAACAAGGCATGCTGACAGAGAGAGAGAGAGAGAGAGAGAGAGAGAGAGACAGAGAGAGACAGAGAGAGATAGTGTGTGAGAGAGAGATCAGAATGCATGGGCAACTTATGGTCTCTATAATACTGCCTAGGCTTTGTGCTATGGAGATAAAGAACTTTATCCCTGGCCTGCTATCATCATGCCTCTCTTTAGCACAATATAACACTATCATCTGGAAAGATGGAAAGGTGCCAACAACATTTTTTGCAACACTGGAGGCTATCCTCTTTTAAAAATGTTCTTATAAATAAAAAGAGACCATCTAATTTAATAATGTTATTTGCAACATTAGAGACCACCTACATCTAATAATATTTGCAAAATTGGAGACCACCTACATCTAGTAATCTTTTCTGCAACATTGGAGACCACCTACATCTAGTAATCTTTTCTGCAACATTGGAGACCACCTACATCTAATAATGTTATTTGCAACATTAGAGACCACCTACATCTTCTTCTTCTTCGCATTCACCAGCTGAACACTCTGGCAGAAAGTTCTGGTTGCTCGTCCACTACTGAACTGCAGTCCTGCTCCAGAATCTGAGTGTTGCGTGTGCATCTGTTTTACAGATCTCATTCTCTTGAATACAGACTGTTGGTTCCTTGCCTCTCCGGCAGATGCACTCCGACTTCAGAGGAAGCTCCCCAATTAGTCGTCTCTTACGACAGGCTTTTGGGGAGGCAGTGGGTCTATTATTGTTTTCCCCACAATGGGGCCCTGGAACCCACACGGGGGGACCACCTACATCTAATAATCTTTTCTGCAACATTAGTGACCACCCACATCTAATAATCTTTTCTGCAACATTGCAGACAACCTACATTTAATAATGTTATTTGCAACATTCAAGACCACCTACATGTAATCATCTTTTCTGCAACATTGGAGACCACCTACATCTAATAATTTTATTTGCAACATTAGAGCCACCTACATCTAATAATGTTATTTGCAACATTAGAGACCACCTACAACAAATAATGTTAATTGAAACATTAGAGACCACCTACATCTAATAATCTTTTCTGGAACATTAGTGACCACCCACATCTAATAATCTTTTCTGCAACATTGCAGACAACCTACATTTAATAATGTTATTTGCAACATTCAAGACCACCTACATGTAATCATCTTTTCTGCAACATTGGAGACCACCTACATCTAAAAATGTTATTTGCAACATTAGAGAACATCTACATGTAATCATCTTTTCTGCAACATTGGAGACCACCCACATCTAAAAATGTTATTTGCAACATTAGAGACCACCTACATCTAATCATATTTTCTGCAACATTGGAGACCACCTACATCTAATAATGTTATTTGCAACATTAGAGACCACCCACATCTAATAATGTTAATTGAAACATTAGAGACCACCTACATCTAATAATCTTTTCTGCAACATTGGAGACCACCTACATCTAATAATCGTTTCTGCAACATTAGAGACCACCTACATCTAATAATGTTATTTGCAACATTAGAGACCACCTACATCTAATAATCGTTTCTGCAACATTAGAGACCACCTACATCTAATAATGTTATTTGCAACATTAGAGACCACCTACATCTAATAATGTTATTTGCAACATTAGAGACCACCTACATCTAATAATCGTTTCTGCAACATTAGAGACCACCTACATCTAATAATGTTATTTGCAACATTAGAGACCACCTACAACTAATAATGTTCATTGAAACATTAGAGACCACCTACATCTAATAATCTTTTCTGCAACATTGGAGACCACCTACATCTAATAATCGTTTCTGCAACATTAGAGACCACCTACATCTAATAATATTTTCTGCAACATTAGAGACCACCGACATCTAATAATCTTTTTCTACAACATTGTTGACCACCTACATCTAATAATCTTTTCTGCAACTTTGGAGATCACCTACATCTAATAATGTTATTTGCAACATTGGAGACCACCTACATCTAGAAACTTTTTCTACATTAGAGACCACCTACATCTAATAATCTTTTCTGCAACATTAGAGACCACCTACATCTAATAATCTTTTCTGCAACATTAGAGACCACCTACATCTAGAAACTTTTTCTACATTAGAGACCACCTACATCTAGAAACTTTTTCTACATTAGAGACCACCTACATCTAATAATTTCCTTTGCAACACTGGAGATTATCTCACCTAATCTTGATCCTCTTGTACCTTACAGTGTCAAGTGATGTGCCCATGTGTGACCTTAAATATAGGGGTTTCCCAAGGACTCTCTTATTAATCTCCATCCTATGTGGGTCAAATTTTTCGTTATTGCAAAGCCCCACCCTGGCTATTGCTGGGGGTCTTAATATAACCTAATGGTTGAACGGGGTTTCTGGGACCTCTCTGTGGGTGATCTTCATCTGAATGGTAGCACTTTGTTTTACCGGGTGTTTATTGCTCAGTGTGATGATCTGGTGGGTTAAAAAGTCAGTCAGATTCTCTTATTTCAGCTGTCCATCATATTCATGGTCAGCCTCTCTTCAAATGTTCACTTGGTCTGAACATCATTGTTTGGTGTGGTATACTCTCTGAGGTAAATGGCCAAATCACTTCAATTATTGCTTTCTAATCAAATCTAGCACTGTGAAAATTCTCATTTTCTGTAGGATTTCATTATTTCTGATCTTCTTTTCTGGATATCCTGAGTGCTCTTGCTAATAATCTTACTTAAATTTAATTTTGCTCTTCTTTTCTTGTGTCATTTTCAAATCTGGAATTCGAAACATAAGAGTTGGTAACATCATTGTGTTATAGAGTGTTCTTTTGGTATCTACTGATACACATTTATTTCTCAGTAATGGTGTCATATCTACAATAAATTAATTTGCTTATTTCATCCATTTTTTATTGAGTTTTCTGATTTGCCTGTTGGTGATATTGGGCTTCTTAAGTACTTGACAATTTTTACTTATTTTAGAGGGTTTTTTGTAAGTTACAATGATTATTCTCTACTTCTTTAATTAGAGCTATGAAGTCTAATACTGTTCTTTGCAAGACTAGAGATGATCGCTACTTAAAATGTTTGCAACATGGGGAGACAATAACCATTCAGTATCCTACTGATCTGATGGTGGCCACATAGTTTTCTGAAGGTAATAACTACGCTGTTTCAGCAATACTCTCAAACACTGTACGGTAATCAGGTGGAGGCGACGGCTCTCCTGAACCCAGGTCAGAGTTGAAACTATTGGATGTGTTAGCCATAAACCTCCTGGCCCCAGCATCAACCCAAGTCTTCATTCCTAGTGCCTGTGTCCCTTCCTCCAATGCCAGCTGACCAGCAGCTCCTATAGCATCATCACTGCTGAACTCATGAATGCTGTTTTGAAGGCAACAAGACTCAGGAGAGGAAACATTAGGACACAGATGGTACTTGACCAAAGGATTGTCAGATGAGCACAGAAATGACAGTGAATGTTGAGTTTTAGTTCCCACACCTACCGCCACATTACCTGTACCGTATACTTTCACTAGACCCTGATATCTGGCATGTTCATTACCTAGCACTAGTGACTTTGAAGGGGCAAGATTTGAACCTGAAATTGATGCTGATTTTGTGGCCAGTGGTGGCGTAATTATGTTTGAACTACCCAGTACATCAGTACCACTCAAAAAAGCACTGGATCCAATGTTAGTGGAGTGTCTATAGTCTTCGGGGAAGGAGTTCACTGACCCTTGACTCAGTCTGCGTACATGTGGTGACCTTGAGCCAGCACTGTTTCTGTTACTTTCATTAACAGGCATTGACAATCTTGTGTGCTGAGGCCAGGATGTCTTAGAATTGGCAAGACTGAGTTTACAAGTGCTTGAAGTGATGACTTCTGGAGAAGATAAAGTATAGGAGTCACCACCTTCCTGCTGCTCTAGTGGAGACAGTGGGACTAAGTATTCATCATTGTCAATCCCACTGAAGGATGGCGATCCAGAGACCTCGCATGTACTGCTGTGTCCACTGTCACTGTCCTCTTCTTGATGGATGTCAGCAGTTGTCTCTACCTGAAAATGTCACAATATAGAACTTTTTTACTTGATTGTTTGACACTAAAAAACACATTTTTTTTCTCAAACTAATAAATTAATAGCTCTACATGTATGGACTATATTTTTAAGGCGTTTAAAAGCAAAAGGATCAACTTTACAGCACTGGATTGTATAAACAAAATATTGCCATTTAAGTATAGTATTATGATAACAAATGTTAATTCAGCTACATACATATAACGCTTTTATTCCTATCCATTGCAGCATCTGGAATCAGCTACAGCTTGTGTGTGATGAAACCTACAATGTACCATTCAAACCATTTATGCCTGGTCTGAGTATATTAAAGATAACTGGCCAGATATATTAACAGACACCATATTGAAGGCTTCACACCAGGTGCGTGTGTATGTGTGTGTGTATTCATTCATCATCTTGTTGTGCCATTAAATGTCACATAGGGCTCGGAGTCTATTTCTCCATTGCATTCAATTCTGTGTAATCACTTGGACATCATGGATGGAATCTGGTCCTTTGCCTTCTCACATCAATGTTAGCCTTAGGGTTTCTCTGGTATGTCCTCATTTCCACAATCCCTTTGTATCTCATTTCAGTGCCTGTTCTGTGACTCTCTCTTTGTCTCTTCTCATAATGTGTCCAATATAGCACCATCTTCTCTGTCTTATAACTGTTGATACCACAGGTTGCCCAGACATCTTTCTTAAGTCTTCACCCCTCTTGAAATAATCCCATCCAGAGTTGGTAATAATTTAGGAAACACTATGGCTACACACTGTAAGACCTTGACCTACCCTGCTGTCCTAGATGGGTCAAGGGTTATTCAGTATAAACCTATAACATCTTCCTTCTTAAATTCAATGAGTTAAATGAGTTAACATATAAAATATGAGAAAAGCTTGTCTGTTTTCTAATAATTTTCAGACTAGTGTTAATTTCTCATGCACATATAATCAAATCATGTGGGTCAAAACAACTGTATTATTACAATATTAAAGAAGTGAAGTGTTTCCTTCCTTCATCTTCTCATTGGCTGCTTCAAATGTCATTAAGGATTCAGAGTTCTGACTGTAACTCTTCTAAAGTGTTTACGTGATTTAAACATTGTTTCTAATATAACCTGATTGTCAGCAGAAGCAAAGCCAGGAGCAATCATATCTGGTACAGAGAGTTGCTTCCCCTCATGCCTCAAAGACTGAAGCTCATTCTTGCTTGCCTTCTCATTCTTCCATTGCAAATGATTCTGGTAGTGAATATCTGGTTCATTCATCTGAAACAAATGAATTATTTCAGATGGCATCCACAGGATTAACTCTGGTTTTTATGCCTAAAATAAAAGGCAAACTACAAAATATGAGCACAATCATATACGTCAGTCAATGATAGGTGCCACCATGGTTGTATAACAAAATTAATCATCCACAAAGACAGTGTTCCTAACTGATTCTTTGCATACATTTCAGAATGAATGATTTTTAATGATTTTTTAATGACCAGATTAGATACCAAACTAAGGCCACTTTCTACAATGGGAAAAAGGTGACAGCATGAAGGTCTATCCGTACATTTGCAGCTAAGGTATGACAGCATCCTTTTTTCATCTAGATATAAATAGAAGATCAAGAAATCAGTGTAAGAACATTATGATTGTGGCTACAGATGCTACAACAGGGGTTAAATGGCTGGGTGGTTGGGGGAGGTTTAGTGCTTTCTCCTAGTTGGTTCAAAGATAATGCAGAAAGGAGACAAATCAGTGTACCAGTTGTATGCCGTCTGCACACCCTAGATCACCATGATGATGATACAGCATTCCGAAGAAAAGAGACTGAGGAGTTATTTGCTGAATTAAAGAGAGTTACTTTTATTAGCAAAATAAGGAAAAAGAAATCATAATTTTCAGTGACAGTAAACTGAGAAAAAATATGCCACTAATAGTAAAAATTGAACAGAAAGAAAAATAATACCACTGGTAGTAAAATATGATCAAAAAGAGAAGTTATACCATAGTTAACTCCTTAAAAAAAAGCCACTATAAAAAGTATGACTAACAGTAAACTATGAACAAAAAGGATACATCATACCACTGACAGTAAAATATAAACAACATGAACAAATGTATCACTGATGATAAAACTATGAACAAAAAGAGAAATCTTGCCACTGATAGTAAACTATGAAAACCATCATCATTATCATCATCATCAATTTTCACTTCTGCCAATAAGCATTGTAGAAAGAAATAGTTTGCGATCCATTGCTTGATGGGCAGCTTTAGCTACTGTCATTCAATTTTAATGTAGAAGCTTTTTAATGTCATCAGTCTATTTCTCCTTTGCTGCATGATGTTGTTCCTACAGTCTGTCTGACAATATCATTTCTAGCTTTGTCTCATATTTTTAAAGTTGGTGTCTTTTCTTAGGCATCTAATTTATGAGTTGTTAATTTTATATAGGTTAGCTGTTGATGATGTCCAAGTCTGGCACTGATAGCACAGTGTTGGTATGAATATGCTGTTTATAATCTGATTCTTGCGCTCATACTTATGTTTGAATGTCCTAATAATCGTGTCAGTTGGTAGCCTATATAAGTGCACTGGCTCGTTAGCATCTTGTTTATATTTCTTGATGTATTCTGCCATCCTCCGAGAATATATTTCTTAGATATTTAAATTCTTTAACTCTCTCCTAGTACCATTCAATCCGATATGAAGTGGACTAGAAATTCAACTGATCTGCATTACTTCAAATTTAGTAGTATTTGTTTTCATATTATATTTTCTTAATCTTAAACTTAGCCTGTTCAAATGGCCTTGCAGTCTACTCCTGCACTGTAGAATAGGTACTGATCGTCTGCAAATAGAAGCTAATAAATAATGAACAGAAAAGATTATGAAACATGAACAAAAAGAGAAATTATACCACTGATTGTAAATTATGAACAAAAAGAGAAGGTGTACCACTGATAGTGAACTTGAACAAAAAAGGATAAATTATATCACTGACACTAAACTATGAATAAACAGGATAAAATATACCACTGAAAGTAAACTATGAACAAAAGAGGATAAAACAACATAAAAGAAAGTAAAGTGTAAGAGACAATATCAATGCTCAAACCTTGGTGCAGGCATTCTGCTTGACTGAGTGCCTAATGTTGATATAGGAAGATCCTGCTGGTGACATCTTGAGGTATCCATCAGTTTCTGTCGTCATCTTTGGCACCATGTTCTCATTGTCTCCCGCCATTTTGACATATGGTGTTTCAGACAAATCCAGGTAGTACTGATGACAGACAAGTTTCATAAAGGTAAAGGTAAAGTAAAGTCAGGAGATGTGAACCAGCGTTATTGAACACGGTAATAAACTATAAGTGCTCTGCCATCAGTAGGGACAGCTGATAAGAAACTGTCCATCTGTGTCACTGTCCACACACAACTCCGTAGCCACAGCGACGTTCCTCCATTTACCCCAGAGTGTTAACCCTGAACCCCGGGAACCACCCGGTTTCGAACCCCGGCCATGGGCTGCAGCGAGTCGTAGCTGGATTTGAAATGTGAGTCTCCTATCGACTGCGCTAATGCATTAAAGGTAAAGGTAACCAAAATTTATAAATGTATTAAACCTTAGTTCAAAGGCAACAAGTGTAAAAATGATGAAAAACTTTTTAAAATAAATCTGTTATATAAATTAACAACCATATTTCATAATACATTTATCTGAAATATGAAAACACGAGCTCTAATAGTGTAGCCATCTGACACAAATAATATATATATAAATATACACCAATCAGGCGTGCTGGAATTAGAGGTCCAGAAACACTGAAGTCCTCTGTAATGTTTTTCACACTATTTCAAATAGATTATATTAATTGACCATTCGGCAGATAATTATTATTATAATTGTCAGTCACTTAAGGAAGAGTGGCTGACCAAATGTTTCAGAAACACATGGCTATCATAAGGGAGACTTGGATTCAATTCCTGACAACAACAAAAGCAAACATTTGGGGATTTTTAGGGCAGCAAAAATAAAATCTCAACCTGCAGTCAATAGTGACAGCACTAGCCATGTGCCCCTAACTTCTCAGACTCAAAGATCACCCTACCTACACCCCAAAATGGATAGTGGCTTTTTGTCAAGCACTTAAATAAGACAAAAGCTCTGTCTCTTCAGAAAACGTATAAAGCTATAGTTTCTTTCCCCAATGCATTCCTTGTGTTGGTGCTCACTACCCTGCCCCCCCCCCTTCTTCCCCCCTCCACCCTCTCGGGACCAACAAATAGGCCCAGGACTGGATGGTGGCAGGATTTTATGTTGTCTGACCAATAGATACAGTGAAGTTTTACAGAACTCCTACCAGAGATGTGATAGTCTATACAACTGAGCTGACTCTATGTTATGGCATTGCTGAAGGAGTACATTAAAATTAAAATGTAATGTGTTCCTTGCATCTTTCTTTCCAACTTACCTGCTTCACATTGGCCTCTAGAGAATCTCCAATTTTGGTAACAAGCTCAGAGAAAGTTGGTCTCTCTTCTGGGTCCACTTTCCAGGTTTGAAGCATAATTTTGTACCTTAATGGTTGAGGAAGAAAACAACAATATGATGTGCTTTTATGAATAAATCATAGAACATATTTACTTAGCTTCAGAGAGGAACAGACAGCTCAGCTGTACAGTTGGAAACATTAAAGCATTTTAAAAATAGTACCATAATGGAACGAGTGAACACTGTATAAGCACACACAGATCATCACAGTCGGAATAAAATCGTGCAGTGGCGAGTTCTGGCCAACATTCAACAAAAACGGAACGATGGACATACAATCAGACTGCTACTGGTACAGTTGGAATTTGAATTATGCGTTGAGTGCTAAAGATGAGGCCAGATCACTTATGAGAACATTCCAGGTGCTGTGATGTTGGAAAAACCCAGCAAAGTGAATTCTTTAAAACAATTTAAATGAGAGTGTGTAAACAGATCAGATACAAGAAGTTTCTGAAATAGCTGGAAAAATAGATACGCAACAGCTGAGAGTTCACAAAGTAAATAATTAATAACATCACGTAACTATGAAATAGACATCTTAGATGAAATGTATATATCAAATCAAAAAAAATTTAGAAGCAACAGAGATGTGGTTATTGAAATGAATGTTACAAATATTTTGGACAGCCTGAGTAACTAACAATGATTGCTTGAAAGAAGCTAATGAAAGTAGATCTCTATATACAACAAGAAAGAGACAAACACTGTTCTTTGGGCATGTATTGAGAAGAGAGATATTGGAGAACATCGTGATAACTGGAAAGATCAGTGGAAAAAGGGGTAGAGGCAGACCAAGAGAGATGATGCTGAATGGGCTAAAATGATGGCATGGAAGGATACCATCAAAAGAGCTGTTCCAGGCAACCAAGGATCGTGATCTGTAGAGATGCATGAGCACCTACGCCAATTGACAGGGCACATGATGATGATGATGATATTCAGGACAAGCCACTGAGTGACATTCAACCCCACAAGGACCGCACAACAGGCAGGAAACACCCGGTGACACAAAGTACCACCATTCGGATGAGAATCCCCCTGGCACAAGTCTCATTCAACCCCATTCAACCTTTCAGCTATATTAGGGCTATCAACGACAACTGGGATGGGACTTTCAAAGTTAAAACAATTGTGTCCCATAATGGTGTGGAGTCAATTAACGAGCCCCAAACAGGACAAGTAACTGTCATTAATATAAACTCTGGTGGATGCAATTAATCAAGGGTCTTTGTGGTGAAGTGGTCAAGCCATTTGCCTCCCGCTCTGAAGGTCATGGGTTAATTTCACGGCAGCCCCGTTCAGTTCATGAATGCAATTTTTACTGAGATCCATGGGGATCGTTGCCAAAGCTATGGAGGTGGTGCTCTGTGCAACGCTCTAAGCAGGCAGCTAGCTGCTTTGTGAAGACAGCCTGTGCCATATTGGATAAACCTGATGCAATGATGAGGATCACCCGTGGAGAGGTCCCAGAAACCCCTTTCAGCCGTTAGGCCATATTTATGGTTATGCCATATCTATGCCCCAGCTATATTCAGGGCCCCCGGCAAAAGCCAGGCTGGGGCTTCAAACAAAAAATTGTATCCCACGAGGGGATGAAAAAAACAGGTGAAATGGAGTCGATCTTCTCACCTTTACCTTTATACCAAAATAGCTGCAGATTAGAGTTAAATATTTTAACTTTATGCTGGCTATAAAAACTCTACCTAGCAGCCATTTCATCACAATTGTATCACTTGTTTCCAGTCATCACCCCCAAGTGTATGATGTCTGTATGCAGTTATGTTTCCAGTCATGATCCCCAGGTGTATGATGTCTGTATGCAGTTATGTTTCCAGTCATGATCCCCAGGTGTATGATGTCTGTATGCAGTTATGTTTCCAGTCATGATCCCCAGGTGTATGATGTCTGTATGCAGTTATGTTTCCAGTCATGATCCCCAGGTGTATGATGTCTGTATGCAGTTATGTTTCCAGTCATGATCCCCAGGTGTATGATGTCTGTATGCAGTTATGTTTCCAGTCATGATCCCCAGGTGTATGATGTCTGTATGCAGTTATGTTTCCAGTCATGATCCCCAGCTGAATGATATCTGTATGCAGTTATGTTTCCTGTCATGATCCCCAGCTGTATGATGTCTGTATGGAGTTATGTTTCCAGTCATGATCCCCAGCTGTATGATGTCTGTATGCAGTTATGTTTCCAGTCATGATCCCCAGCTGAATGATGTCTGTATGCAGTTATGTTTCCAGTCATGATCCCCAGCTGAATGATGTCTGTATGCAGTTATGTTTCCTGTCATGATCCCCAGCTGAACGATGTCTGTATGCAGTTATGTTTCCAGTCATGATCCCCAGCTGAATGATGTCTGTATGCAGTTATGTTTCCTGTCATGATCCCCAGCTGAATGATGTCTGTATGCAGTTATGTTTCCTGTCATGATCCTAAGGTGTATGATGTTTGTGTGCAGTTATGTTTCCTGTCATGACCCCCAGGTGTATGATGTCTGTATGCAGTTATGTTTCCTGTCATGACCCCCAGGTGTATGATGTCTGTATGCAGTTATGTTTCCAGTCATGATCCTAAGGTGTATGATGTTTGTGTGCAGTTATGTTTCCAGTCATGATCCCCAGGTGTATGATGTCTGTATGCAGTTATGTTTCCAGTCATGATCCCCAGGTGTATGATGTCTGTATGCAGTTATGTTTCCAGTCATGATCCTAAGGTGTATGATGTTTGTATGCAGTTATGTTTCCAGTCATGATCCTAAGGTGTATGATGTTTGTATGCAGTTATGTTTCCAGTCATGATCCCCAGGTGTATGATGTCTGTATGCAGTTATGTTTCCAGTCATGATCCCCAGCTGTATGATGTCTGTATGCAGTTATGTTTCCAGTCATGATCCCCAGGTGAATGATGTTTGTATGCAGTTATGTTTCCAGTCATGATCCTAAGGTGTATGATGTTTGTATGCAGTTATGTTTCCAGTCATGATCCCCAGGTGTATGATGTCTGTATGCAGTTATGTTTCCAGTCATGATCCCCAGGTGTATGATGTCTGTATGCAGTTATGTTTCCAGTCATGATCCCCAGGTGTGTGATGTTTGTATGGAGTTATGTTTCCAGTCATGATCCCCAGCTGAATGATGTCTGTATGCAGTTATGTTTCCAGTCATGATCCCCAGGTGTATGATGTCTGTATGCAGTTATGTTTCCAGTCATGACCCCCAGGTGTGTGATGTTTGTATGGAGTTATGTTTCCTGTCATGATCCCCAGCTGAATGATGTCTGTATGCAGTTATGTTTCCAGTCATGATCCCCAGGTGTATGCTGTCTGTATGCAGTTATGTTTCCTGTCATGATCCCCAGGTGTATGATGTTTGTGTGCAGTTATGTTTCCAGTCATGATCCCCAGGTGAATGATGTCTGTATGCAGTTATGTTTCCAGTCATGATCCCCAGCTGTATGATGTCTGTATGCAGTTATGTTTCCAGTCATGATCCCCAGCTGAATGATGTCTGTATGCAGTTATGTTTCCAGTCATGATCCCCAGCTGAATGATGTCTGTATGCAGTTATGTTTCCCGTCATGATCCCCAGCTGCATGATGCCTGTGTGCAGTTATGTTTCCAGTCATGATCCCCAGCTGTATGATGCCTTTGTGCAGTTATGGAACTTTTAGGCATGTCATCTTTCAAAAATAACCCAACAATGACTCGTTCAAGTTTTTCCCTTGATCAGGTTTCCCTCCACCTTACAATTAATGTAAATGAAATCAGAGAATAGAAATGTATGTGTTTTTATAAAAATGTGCTCAAGCATAAACTATTTGTTAATGAACACTATGTAAGAACACTCACAGCTGATCACTGGAGTATGGTGGCCTCTCCATTCGATAGCCAGACTTCAGTAGTCCAATAAATTTCTCATTGATCTCCACACCAGGGTATGGATTTCCACCTGCACAAGACAATGAACAGACCAATAATCAGACATATTTGTACTGTTTACTGTATCCCAAAATTGAGGCAGTCTTAATTCTCAGACAAATTTGGACTGCAGTTTAGTGGAAATGACTGCTAAAGATGGTCGCATATCAAAATAATTTGGGGTGAATAACACTGTTTATTGTAATTCTGTCATGAGGTAGTCATGCAGAAAAGAATGAAATTGAGAACAATATATATAAGCTGGCTTCTGTTTCTTAGGCATTGTGAACAGGCTTCATAATGGCGGAGTATCAGGTTTATCCCCTGGTCTCTGGGTAGTGAGTTCGGACGCCCGTGCACATTGTTGTGCACGTAAAATAATTCCTTGCTAGTGGGAAATCAAAAATAGTAGCCTAACGGAGCTGCCCGGGCAAAATTTGGAGTTTAAAAGCTACCCAAAGTATTTCAGGATCCTCGCCAGTGCCACAGAGCCTGTGCGCTGCGCTGAGATTCTTCGGACTCAGACTTGAATTAGAAAAAGAACGGAGCACTTATGGATTACTATCCGTGTGCCTTGATGTTGATCCGTTGCTCAAACTTCAAACTGTAAGAACTGAAAATAAATAATTTGGCTCTAAAGCCATACACTTAGAGTTCCATATTTTTTTTCAGGCTATTAAAAGATGCTAATGCCTTGCCAATCAGAAAAGGTTTCACAGAAGTGTGTTCCACAGAAAGAGTAGCCAAACTGCCATTATTTATCTCATTTCATTCCATTTTGTTCTTCTTTTGCTTTGCAGTGTTTAGGAAAGCATAAAATATTTGGGCAGTGCCTACTTACGCCTTTCATAAATCAGGGTTGCCGATGAATTTTATTCCCTGTGTCCATCATTTACATGGTTGCTCTCTTTTGATTTTCACATAATCTATTGCTCTTTGTGGTATACTGTCTGCTGGTAGCTCAGTTAGACGACTGAACCATTTCATCTGTTATTTTCTAGCACTTTGTAGCTGTTTTTTTCTTCTGATTTCATTCTGCTCAGTGAGATCTGAACCTTTCTGTTGACATAAATCAACTTTGGAACTGCCAACTTCTGGTCACAATTATTGTTGCACTGTAAAATGAATACACACCATACACTTGATTATCCAACACCAGCATGTATGGAGGACTTACCCAGTGAAAACAGCTCCCATAGTAGAACACCGTAAGACCACCTGTGAAAATATTTACAGTAGCTAAAAATAATCATCAGTGTGGTTAATACTTCAGGGTATCAACATATACCACACACAAAAAAACATTTGAAATAAAAATTTGTTTAAAATACAAATAATTATTTAATGTCATACAATTTTATATATAAAACTGTGTATAAAATAATGGTGACTGCAGTCAAGTAGATTCCGAAAATTAAACTAACACAAATTAAAATACAGTCACTATCATAAAATTTTACTCTGGTGATTACACCATCTGTCTTTCCTCATTTTCAGTTTAGACGCAATCTTAACCCAACAGCAAACAAAATCCTCAGCATTTTTCATCTAATGCAGGCAGCAATTTGTATCTTTTCTTCATTCCTTCATTTATGTTTCACTGTTTTCTCTACCATTGCTTTGTTCTCAACACACCTTCCCACTCCTAATTTTTGCATTCCATTTCTTCAAACATGAGGTTTTTCTGGCTGTGGGATTCTTGATTCACTTTTATGGTATAAGATTGTTGTTGTTTTGTTTATTGATAAAGACAGTTGCTAGTTTCTGTGTTTGTCTTTCTTTCCCTTTATTGGGTGTTCTATTCTTATGTTAACTATATATATATATATATATAAAGTGCGCTAGCTATACACCAATGAACAACAGTGTAATTACAGGAATAATAAAAATAATACATGTGGCATGACATCTGAAATTAAATACAGGCTGTGTATTGTAAGTATAATTTTTCAGGACGAAATGTCTCCCTGTTGCCTTCAGCCATACTGTTATGAAACATTTCTATTAACATTTACAACTTTTGTGTAAAAAACAATTCTGCATTTTATTTACACATTGTTGTTGTCAGCATTTTGCCTGCCAGATGTTATGTTTTGAACACGAAAAGGTCAAGTGAATTGATAAAACAAGAAAATCTTGCAACAGCTGATTTGATGAGTCAAAAAGAAGTTCAATGTTTGTTAAATTCAGTACTATATTCATCTGCCATCATTTTCACAGTCAGACATCAATCTTTTTGTATTTGTTCTCTGACTTTACCTGTATCATTACAAACAGAAACTGGACATCTCAGCCTAACTTCATCTTTGAGCTTTTCCACACCAGTTTTAAAGCGTGAATACCACTTGAATATCTGTACACAAGATACAGACTGATAACCATTAATTTGTCTTTTGATCACTGGCATCTTGAGAGTTAATAGACTGAAATGGCTGGGGCATACTGAAAGAATGTCAGATGACGGAGAGGAAAAAACTGTATACACAAGGGAGCTGAATGGTTTTAGACCACAAGGCAGACCAAGAAGATGAGGGAGAGATAATGTCCAGACAGACCTACAAACACTTAGTTTGACCAACTGGAAAGAGGAGGCTGACCCAAGCGAGGAGTGGAGGTGGGTGATATCTGCAGGAAATGAACCTAAAGAGCACAGAATGCTGAAAAAAGAAGAAGATAAACCTGTCTTTTCAATTCAACTGTCTCAAAATCACTTTTTCAGAGTTGAAAACATAATTTAATGTTTGCTCTTTGCTACTACTTTAAAATATGAAGAAATTTTCATTCGTTGGACAAAATGATGGGTTTTTTCCATGCTTATCAAGCGACATTGCAAGTTGGCCAGATCATAGATAAGTGGTGTGTGTAAGGGTGACATTCTTTCGTCATGGATGGCCTTTTTTGTCTTGGCCATAACATCAGTTTTTTATTTCATTACCAGATTATAACTGTGTGAGTGTGAGAGTGTATGTTTGAGTGTGTGACTGTGTGAGAGAGTGTGTGTTTGAGTGTGTGCATGTGTGTGTGTTTGAGTGTGTGCATGTGTGTGAGTGTGTCTCTGAGTGTGTTTTATCTTTAATTACTTATGGTTATTGTCAGAGTCCAGTGCGGGTATGGGATACATAGTACAATGATAGTGAATGTCTATGTCCATTCTTAGTGACCGAGACTTGACCTGTAACTCAGCTTTAATGAACCGAGACTAGCAGAAAGTCATGACTGTACGAAACTGACTGCTAACGAAAACCATGAGGTTCTTGGATTGGGTGTCTGAAATGCAATGAACTACAAATGGGTTTTGGCTTGAAGGGGGAGCTCTGTACCAAGATGTTGCGACTGTTCGACTTGTGTTAGATTGTGACAGTTAGAATTATAGTGTGTTTCAATGTAAGCATAGTGACCGATAGTCTGTGTAATTTCGTGATTAGCTTGACAGTATAGTACAGTGTTGTACAGTGTTTGACAGAGACAGGATTTTGGGCAGTCATGTATGGGGGTAGCTCGCTAGGTATTAAAGTTATTCTGTTAGCATAATAACCAGTGACTTGATTTGTCCTCACACATTGGGCCCGCACTATACAGACTCACCACAGAGTTCAGTGGCAGAGGCAAGAGCTTGAATCAGAAACAAGGGTGGCTTTGGCCCAGGTATTATCTGTATAATGGGAAGGTTTGGGAGTGAGCGGCGATTTTAAAGTCCTCACGGCCACGTTTAGGATAGTGGGAGCCCATTTTTTCTAGGATTAACTACTGGCTGTTTATTGTTCTGTACATTAAAGATTGATTTGTATGCTCTGTAAGTGTTTGGCTTAGTGTGTCATAGTGATAGACTGTCTGTTAGTAGCCTACCAACAAGCCACATGCCTGCATGGCAGGAATAAGGATGGTGACAGATATCCATAACAGTGTCAATCATTTCATATAATCCTGTATCGCTGCCTACAACAGCCTGCATCTACAGCTGCCAATAACATTTAGACAGTATAGATCAACAGGTACAACAGGCCACAGAAAACTATAATACTAACACATCACTCTTTGTTGTATAAATTCTGTGTGTAAATGACTCCAGAGCCATCCACTTTACAGGAACTGGTCCCTGTTGGAGAGAAAGATAAATGGGGTTGTTGTACTGTCGCAATTAAGCCACAACAAGTAGAATAATTAAAAACTTAAATACAATATTGGATTATTCTTGTAAGGAATAGGAGACAACTGAAACACTTTAGCATTTAACTGTGCCTATCAAAAGTATAAAACAGCAAAATACAGTTACAGGAAACCTTTTCATATCTTGAGACATATTGACTAAATGTTGCTAGTCTCATATTTTAACTATGTTGGTAGCAATCAACACACTGTATGTTCATTGGTTAGTCCATGTAAAGACTACCAGTTTTTTTTCAAACCTTAGTTTATATTTACTCACTGTATCTAAACTGTAACCTTAGCTCCTCCTGAACTATAATAATTGTATGTGTGTGTGCGTGTGTATGGCCTGCTTGTGTGTGTGTGTGTGTGTGTGTGTGAGAGAGAGAGAGAGAGAGAGAGAGAGAAGGAGAGAGAGAGAGAGAGAGAGAGAGAGAGAAGGAGAGAGAGAGAAGGAGAGAGAGAGAATTGAAACTAAATGCTGATTGTTTTGACGTAAAGCCTTCCACAGAAAGAGTTGAAGAAATTATTCCTGGTTCTGAAAGAGCTTCGACCAGCAGGTTCTTGAAGAGTGATGCATTTTCATGCCAGCCATTTTCCTTTGCAGGAAATTACCTGGTGCCTGTTTTAAACTGGGAGCCAAAAAACGTCAATGCCGTGATGGAGATTTAACTCATGACAACTGAGCTGGCAGACAAGTGGCCAGCAACTGAGCTACAAGCATTTTCACAATTTAACAAATACTGCAATTTTGTATTAATAAATTAATTTTTTTTTTTAACTTCCAAGAATTCATAAGACATGCAAGAAGTGAAAATACCTAAACATCATAAAGTAAAAAGACCACAGTTACACATTAAAGATTGAATGTTCTTTTCTAAAAGAAACAGCCAGGTGCAAGATTCACTTATGAGGGACAAAAAATCAGATCAAGGCAGCCATTAGAACCCACTGGAACACTTCCCCTCCAGGACCCAGTCATGGAAACCTGATCAACCTCCTCATTCAAAATAAACAGACTGTGAAGTTGACAGAAATGGATTATTACATTTAGACTGAACTGGACAGACACGGACTATTGCATTTAGACTATGAATTGGACAGAAACAGCTGTAAATTAGACAGAAACGGACTATTGCATTTAGCAGGGCTATATAACTAAGTTTACTCAGGGGCCAGAATTTTGAATCTTGGGATTGTCAAGGGCCAGATGCCAAAGGTTCAGCATAGAAAGACCATTAATTCAATACAAACGGCAATGATCCACAGTCCACTCACTTGGCTTCCGTTGGCATTAAGCCTGCAATCTGGAGAGAAATGGACCATTGCATTTAGACTATGAACTGGACAAAACAGACGCTGCGGCCACATAATCAGGAAATTCAAGATCTGATATTTAGAACTTTGTCCCTTTAGACAGGCAGCCTAGAAAATTGAACAAATGCTACAGACATGCTCTCTGTGTGCAGTAGAGATCCAAGTGTGTCAGCACTCAGGTGAAAACCAAGCTGTATGGATCAGTGGAGGACGTGCATGGCACCACAGCCTGCATCCAACCATATGGCAATCCCATCTGAAAACCTTTAGCACGGAGGTTAAATAGAAAAAGAAAAGGCATGCAAGAAGTGAAACATTCTAAACATTTATAAAGACCACTGTTACAAATAAAAGATAGAACTTTGTTTTCCATAAATAAACATACATCTCCCTTCTTGTGATATTCTGGGTCTTTGTACAAGTCCTTAGCTAGGCCAAAGTCACAGATCTTGACGATATTATCCTCGGCCAGTAGAACATTCCTTGCTGCCAGATCTCTGTGAATGTACTGGAAAAATAGTCAATGTCATTAATTCACAATATAAGCATTAGTTTGTAATACTTTATATCAGTTGCCTGCATTTAACAGACCATCAGTGATGTTGCATCAAAATTCTATACTTGCCTAAATAGAAAAGACAAACAGATACACCTCACACACACTTGTACAGGCAGGCACACACACTTGTACAGGCAGGCACGTGCACTTGAACTTGTACAGGCAGGCACACACTTGTACAGATAGGCACACACACTTGCACTTGTACACACAGGCACACTTGTACTTGTACAGGCAGGCATACACTTGTGCAAATGTACAAAATTAGGTAAGAATTTATAATAAACCTGCATACCTTCTTAGATGCCAAGTACTCCATACCTCTGGCTACTTGGAAAGCCCAGCAGTATAAATTCCTCGTGGTTAAACTGGGTCCCAGAATAGCTGCACTACCCAGTGGCCCACCTGCTTTGTTCACATAGTAAGGGTCCTTCTTATAATCTTTTTTCTCAATATCTCTGGTGTCCTTGTACCTGACATCTGGGACATGTTTGTCATTATCCACCATAGTGTCTTGAAAGAAAGCCTTATTCTTGATCAGGAAACTCCGCAAGTTTCCAAAATGGCAATATTCCACAATGACACAGAGTTCACCTGTAGGTAAAGTTACAATGAGAGTTACATTTGACGACATTAAAATGTTACTGTATTGTAACAAAATGAAATAATGATGTTCAAATACACTTCAGTGTGCTGGCTTTTATCTCTTATAGCCTGGTTCCTAGATGCCAGGTTTCTATCTGAGAAAGTGTTGCACAAAGCATGAACTCTGTGCCTTTAGCAAGAATCCCTAGAGACCCAATTAAAAACTGCCCCATCAGCCACAGGATGGTGTCTAAAATCAAGCTCACAGCATCAGGGCAGGAACAGATCTTTCTGTTGGCTTCACATATAGTACTTTTCACTGTCCCCAATATTTCTGCAGACTATATTTTGTGCGGCCAGCCTCTGCCTCTGTTACTGCTTTATCAGTATAACACTGCATTCTGTGGTGCCTCGTCTGTTGACAGTGTTTCTTTTTTTTTAAACGGCTAAATCATTTGATCTGTCGTCTACTAAAAAAGTTCAGTAATGGTCCAGTGTTGACTCTCTTCCTGATATAATTGTTTCTAAGTGTATCTTTCTTTGTTACACCAAGCATAATATGTAAACATTTAATTTTTGTCTTGACTATTTTTTTTTTACTTCTGTCTTTAGTGCAGGGGGGAAAAGACATTTCCACTTTTCCGAGTAGATCCCTTGTAATAATTAAATTGTACAATGTTTCTTTAGGCTAGCTCAAACAAATGCACGCACAAAAGTTTTAATTGCATACATACAAGTTGAGAATGTTTTTTTACAAACTCATTTACATATGCATGATGGCAGTTGTCTCAGATTTTTGGACACCTCTTATTTTCTGAAGGTCTGCCACTGATCTCATACTTTGTAATAATCTTTCTGAAGAGCTTTTTTAATTAATAAATTTTAGAAATGAAAACACAAAATAAATTGCATTTTAAAGTTGAAGGTTCCCCGTGTGTGTTCCGGGGCCCTATTGTGGGGAAAACAAGAATAGACCCACTGCCTCCCCAAAAGCATGTCGTAAGAGTCGACTAATTGGGGAGCTTCCTCTGAAGTCGGAGTGCATCTGCTGGAGAGGCAAGGAACCAACAGTCTGTATTCAAGAGAATGAGATCTGTAAAACTGATGCACACGCAACACTCAGGTTCTGGAGCAGGACTGCAGTTCAGTAGTGGACGAGCAACCAGAACCTTCCGCCAGAGTTTACAGCTGGTGAACGAGAAGAAGAAGAAGAAGAAAGTTGAAGGTTTCTTTTTAAAAGGGTTAGAACCAAGGGTTAGAACTTTTTCTCCAGAATTAAGAGACTATAACTCTACCTGTTCAGGCACTTATTCCCCACCTTGATTACAATCATATACATCAGAATTTCAGTCCTCAGCGTAGGCCTACTGGGCTTTATTTTCAGACATGTGTTTTTTTAATGAACCTTTCTTGTTGTTAGCTTTGATATAAGAGGCAAGCCATGGAAGAGTTTAGGGCTTGACTATATAATATTTCAAAAGATATTAGTGGCTACACTGCAACCTACTTTCATTGTGGATATAAAACATCTCTAAACAAAAAAGGAAAGTTAACTGCACAAATGTTCGGCTATAGAAGAAAACACATTCCCACCTACCTTGCTTGTATGCAAAAGTAACAAAATGTCTGTCTGAATTTTTAAAAATTCAAAGAGGAGTCTACCAATCATCAGTAGAAGTAATCTCTCATCGACAAATGTTTCGGCCCACGAGCTCCTATACATTTTCAGAGAGTGGGCCCACCTGAGTTCATAAAGCTCAGGGTTGATTTTCTCCTGCTGCACGTATTACCGGATGTTCTCGGACAGGGACAAGACGAAATTGGTGACTGTGCAAAAGGTACTGTGAGATATAAAGTCGTTGTGGTAGCATAATTAGAGCAGTCAGCACACCTGGATGACCAAGTGGCAAGCTTACGGTTGGTTTATCGGACACATGTTAGACTTTTTTGGCAGATGGCAGAGGGACACTGGCAGACAATTCGGACATGATGGACTTTAAGGGATAAGATTTTCTTTTCCACTAGATACCTGGACCAGCTCACTAAGGCCCATACCCCACAACGTTCAGTTGTGTCCAGAGCCAGCTTGAGGCCCTTTCAGCAGCCTCTTTATTTTACTTTTACTTTATTATAAACTTTAAAATGAGACCTAGAAATTATTAATTCAATTTAAAATATGTGTCTGATTGAAACAGATTTTTGTTTTTACAGAAAAGTGGATATACCATAACGAATGTTTTTTGTGACTGCTCCAAGGAGATTGAGAATATTCAGGTGTTGTCCCACATGGATAAGTATCTTCAGCTCGGAAAGCAGGGCCATCATTTGGTCTTTGTCTGTGCAGTCTGTAAATCACAACATTAACAAAAATCAAAATCAGTCCAATGATAGCATGCTCCTACACAATTTACATCAGTCATGGTGTGTTACTATGGAAATTATCAAGTTAGCTGGAATGGCAAATAACTCTTTCAGCATTAATGAGCTCATCTTTTGTTCATTAGTGTATATTTCTTATCCTTATTCTCCCAAAAAACTTCTTTCTCTCTAAGTACTATTATTTTTACCCATTATATCCATTTGAGTACATTAACCCAGTTTATCTTTCAGTTGTATTTATTCAATTCTTTCAGACTCCAGACCTGTTGCTTTCATCATCATCATGTAGCAAGAATGTCACTCTCATCACGGTCTGCCTAAAAGAAACTCAGTCTCTCAGCAGCTCCCCTGCCTCATGAACTTTCATAATCAAGGAGTCATATCCTTTGCCCATCTTCATGTTGGTAGGCCCCTGCCCCTCCTTCCTGGTACCATGCCTTCTGCTATTATTTTTTTCCAATCTGCCATTGCACTTGATATGGCCTACATATTTAAGCTTCTGAGACAAGATGCTGTTTATCAGCCAGTCTTCTTTGATGTTCAGATCTTTTAAAATCCATAATGAGTTTCATGGGATAATAATGTGGTAGTTGCTTTACAGGGCATATATTCTGGGGATAGAAAGGTATTGAGACAATATCTGTATGGGACTGATAGGGTCTAAAATCATTAGATCTAAAATCATTAGATGAAAATTCTAGAGCCTAATTTACTCCAATCATATTTTATTTATTTCTAAGCAGAAATATTTTATTTCTACTCATGATCTATACATTTCTTCTAAAAAAATCATGCTTGCTACTAATCTGTTTAGCTATTTGATTTGATTTGCAAGGATTGAAATAATTGTCAGTACTAATGAGGGACAGATTCAGGGCAGGAGATGCCAATCATAATTGAATACCTTAAACTGTAAAAGCAACAATTTTAAATTATCTCGTTCCACTTAAGCTGTCCGGAAAAACACACTGGATACCCAAAAATGAATTTACTTATTCTTGTTCACAGAGTTAATTCCCAGAACAAGATAGCTAAGACTACAATGTTTCCAAGTACTGATAGAAAGTTAACATTCATTTCCTGGAGGGATGCAATTTATCATTATTTTGAAGCCCCACCCAGGGTCTGCAATTATAGCCTTATGGTTGAATACATTTTTCTGGGACCTCTCCACAGGTGATCCTTATCCACATGGTGGCACTTTGTGTCACCGGGTGTTTGTCGCTCTGTGTGATTTCCTAGTGTGTGGTAAAATTTACTTACTTACTTACTAAGTACTGATGGTGATAATTACATGTTCTTAACGAATTTTAAAATTAATTTAAGGAAAAAAAACGAAAAGCAACATATTTATACAAGAAGAAAAATGTTATAGGGAAACTTGTTATCCGCCTGCAGTACCTCAGGGAAGTAATGGGGGTGGAGGGATGGGGGAGGGGGTGTATGTGTGTGTGTTTGTGTGTGGGTGGAGTGGGGTGTGTGTGTGGGTGGGTGGGTGGAGGAGGTTGGGATGAGAATCTGCTGTGTTCTTATTCAAATGATCTGTGTAAAGTGATCTTCATTTCTGTGAAATTTTTCTTGATGTTGTTATTCCATATGATGCCTGGTCTTTCCTTGGTCTCTACTCATTATTTCTTCATCGTGGCTTACTGTTGTCTCATTGCTGGGGTGTAGACAAAAACAGCCTGAGGACTTTTGGGGGTAACTGTATGGGGACAATAGCATGATAACAGATTCTAAGCTTTTGCTTAGCACTCATATTGAGGAAACGAACAAAGTAGTGATCAGAAGACATACTTACAGCATAGAAATTTAAAGCTACAAGTAAACAGGAATATAAATCTAAAATTTTGAAATAATGACATAACCTTCCCAAAGACACAAGTGTACTTCAATTCATGATCAGCAAGCTACTTCAAAAAATGGTATTATCATCACCCACATCAATCATCCACTTGAATCAACAACTACGGAATGTGGACATA